CAGGCCGGGCTCCTCTGCCACTATCCTGCAGTGCGGGGCTGCGGTGTTCCTCGGTTGCGCAGCCGCCAGCTTCCCTTCTGCACGCCCCGAGCGGTCCAGTGGACTGCATGCCCAACTGGTTGGGTGTCACGAGTCGTGCGGATCCGTGCGGTGTCGTGGATTCCCCTGACATTTCTTATCAGCCCACACGAAGTCCACCTCGCGCTCGTAGCAGATTCGTGACACGGGTTCGACCTCGCGTTAGCAGCGATGCTTCCCCAGATGTCGGACTCGCAGTTTGTCCAGGTGCACTCCGTCTCTATCTTGGCATGGCCCTGCGCTCCCAGGACCTCATCGAAAGATTGGAGGCTGAATGTACGGTCGCACTGGAGGCGCCTCAGTTGGAGTGCATTGTGTTGCTCCCCAGTTTGCCATTCCGAGCTTCCCGCAGTTGCAGCGACGATGGGCCCATACTGACATGGACATCTGCAGTAATCATATGCGCAAGTGCCACAGCGTAACACCGATTCCAGCAGTGTTGCCCTCGATTCTAGCATGTCCAGGAAAATTCAGCTGCCTGCAGCTAGTCCTGCCACCCACATTCTGGGTGACCTCGTGCAGGTTTGGGAGGGCCGCGGTGAGGATGAGGATTCTAATAATGATGAGGGTGATGATGAGGAGTAGGGGGAGAAGGAAGAGGAGCAGGAGGAGGAGGAGGAGAAGGAGGAGGAGGAGCTGGTGGAAGAGGAAGACAGTCACATGTGACACAATTAGTCTTCACGATCGTCTTGGGGCTGCCTTGGCCTCCTGTGAGGCAGCCTTGGGAGTCCCTTGGGGCACCCGTGGGCGGTCTTTGGGCCCCCTTACGCAGTTTTGTGGCTCTCTTGGGCCGTCTTTGGGTCCTCCTGGCCAGGCTCAGAATGCCAGTTCGTATTCCCTCTCTCGGGCCCCTCCGGGGGGCCTATTCGGGGTGTTTTGGGATTCTTCGGGGGGCATTCGGGACTCTCTTGGGCCTCTCTTGGGACACCCTTGGGCTGGCACGAGCGCTCCCAAGACCCCAGAAACCAGTGTGCGAAATATGAGAAATTGCTTTCAGCCATTTGTTGCATCCTTGGCCAGCCCCGCGGGCCTCCAGGCCGGCCCTCGGGAGAACCCCTGGGACAGCAAGCGATTCCACGAAGCGCCCAAAGATTGCAGGATCTGGGCCATTCACAGAGTTTCGACATCATTCAACACAGAGAAGTAGAAGGGGCCTGAGGGCGCTCCACTAAGCAGTGCTTGCGGCACGATGGCCGAATGTTGCGATAGGGGAGGCAAGATGATTCAACTGCGCGTGGCCGACTGCGCAGTTCGCTCCATGGCGATTTGGCTCAAGTCTCGGGCTGCATTGGGCCCGGACCTTCCTGACTTTCATATTCATCTTGCAGGCAGGCGACTGTCCGCCACGAGGCTTGGAGCTTAGGGATGGGGGGCGCATCGATCTCGCCAGCGATGTTGTTTCCTGTTTCGACTTGGCACCTGCTTTGGAGTTCACAAGTTGCTTCCTTCTGGTTAACACCTCGAGAGCCCCGTCACTCACGCTGCCCTGGCATCAGGGCGGGGTGCCCTTGCCCCACGCCCCGCGCTCCGTTTCCTGCGCTTTGACCCATGCCGTATGAGTAGTTTTCAAAGGCTGATCGGATGTCCCGTGACCATGTGCTCCGCGCCTACTGTGGCGGCTCGCTTCGATGGTCCTCCCCCGACGTGGCATGCCAAAGTCGAACCAACGGCCCCATGCCCTGTGTGTGCTTCTTCCCTTCCGCCACCGCCTGGCGCCTCCTCCTTCCCCTCGCGCACCGCAGCTTAATTCGCGATCGTATGCCTTACCAAAACCTATCCGCCAGCGCAGTCCCTCTGCCTAGCTGCCGACGTAAAGTGTGTTTGTTTTGTGTTTCGCGCCATGCCTGCCCTCGGTGACCAGTGCGGCTTTCGGCCGGCGCTTCACAGAGACCCCTCCAGTGCAAGCACTGCTCGTGAACTGAGGCGAAGCGGGCCCAGCTCACGTGCCTAAAACGACGCGAAGATCGGGACAAAATCGGATCGGAATAATTCGAAATCTCTGAGAATCGGCGGGTTTGGAGGATGTCTTGGGCGCCGCGGCCGCTCCAGAGCGTTCCGGAACGCTCTGAGAGCGCTCCGGAACGCTCTGGCGCGATTTATCCCGATCCTAGCCCTGTTTTGGTGCCCCGCTGCACTGCGCGGTGCTGGACGGACGTTGTGGGGTGGAGGGGGGTCTCGTGCTGCGGCGGGGGGGTCTGCTGCGGGCTCGCCGGTCGGGCGTGGCCAGAGGTGCCCCTGGCCCAAGGTGCCCCCCAGGATTTCCAGGCAGGCCCCCGCACGGCCTCCAGAGCGCCCCACATCACGAGGCCCAGAGGGCCCCAGGGGCTCCAAGATGCAGCGAAAAGCGGGGGGCACCCTGGGCCAGGGGGCACCTTTCGCAGCCCCCCCGCGGGTCTCCTGCGGCGGGCTCGCCAGAGGGACACCCATGCCGCCACTGCCGGAGCGCCGAGGCCGCGAAGAGTATGGCACAGTTCGGCCAGCCGTACGGGCAGTATGGCGCAATGGAGGCCGAGCGAGGCTGGCCCGGCCGAGCGAAAGCCGGGGGCAGCCCAGATGGGTTCAGAACCGCCTTTCGTCCTTTCCCCCCCTTCCTCCCCTCCCTCCCTCCCCTCCCTCCCTCCCCTCCGTTGATCCGTCTGTCGCCCTCTACTGCGGAGGGACTCCTGGCTTCGGTTCGACGCGTCCCGCCCGCTCGGATGCGGGGGTCCATTCGTGCTGTGCTGAGCTTGCCTCACTAGGGGCCCGTACAGAGTTGTTCGATCACTCATATATTATGCGAGTTGTGTGCTGGGCTTTGCTGACAGGCTCACTGCTTCATAAGCGCTGAAATCCTAAGTTCCGCTTCGCACTGCCGCCCTTCCCCTCTCTTCCCATCGCTCTCTTCCATTCTCCCTCCCTCCTCCCTCCATTCCCCTCGAGGTCCCCGCGGATTTCTTCTTTCCCACATTTCCCCGCCCTTCCTGCTGTGAAGAACAATCCTGGAGGCCTCGCGCGGCGCGCAATACTTGTATCGTCTAGTCTCCACGTCCTCTCCGTAGGAAATGGGTCGACGTTCGCCCAGCGATGCTCCGACGCAGGTCCGACGACGAACATCGGGCGTGAATCTGGCGTAAATCCGACGTAGATCCGACGTGTTCCGACGGAAGCTGGACGCACATCTGACGTATCCGACACAATTAGGTATCAATTGCTGCGCGAGGCCTCCATGATGTTTCTCAGAATTCCTGGCGCGATCGCCTCCAGAGATGCTATCCCCAGGCTGTTTGTTCAGTCCGCCCGCCAGGGCCGCTCGGGTACAGCCCGCCCAGCATGCGGGACACCGGGCGACAAAAGGTCGGTCCAAATCGAGTCCAGACGTGTGTCGCTCGAGTCGCCGTCGTCTGCTTTCTTTTTGCTCCCTCTGCTCCATCTCCTCGGAAACTGGAACATATACATTACCAGTGGCGGGCTGTTTTTCAATCCCCGGACTTTTTGAGGATCGGGGACGACGCTGAGGTGGTGTGGTGTACATTTTTCCCCCCGACGTCCCGGGGAAACAACGAAAACTGTATGCACCAGGGTCCCGTAGACACCAGGATCCGCTCTCCGGTGCAAATTTCAATGCAGGGCCGGAAGAAGCTTTGGTGTATAACGAGAGGTCGATGCCTTATGTCCCTCGCCTCGCAGCACAGCCTGCCGGGAGCTGGCGGCGGAACGCCCCCTCGAGTCGGGCCCTCGGACCGTTTTGGACGTGTGCCGATGCGCACGCCGCTGCCGCTCTCCATCTCCCGTGGGCAGGCTGCAAAGTTGTTGGGGCCGCGGGGGGAGGGGGAGGAGGCGAAGGAGGAGGAGGAGGAGGAGGAGGAGGAGGAGGAGCAGGAGGAGGAGGAGGAGGAAGGGGAGGAGGGGGAGGAGAAAGAGGGGGGGAGCAGAAGGAGGAGGATGAGCAGGAGGAGGAGGAGCAGCAGGAGGAGGAGGAGGAGGAGGAGAAAGAGGGGGTGGAGCAGGAGGAGGAGGAGGAGGAGCAGGAGGAGGAGGAGGAGAAGAAGGAGGGGGAGGAGAGGTTCGACCGCCTTTGGAGTCGCGGGTGGCTGGGTTCCAGGCCTCCGGGCGAGCTTTCGGCCTGGGCCTGTGGCCGCGTCGTCGAGCGGCGTCTTGCAGCGCAGGCTCCGGCGAGGTGGGGGGGGGGGCGAGAGCACCCAGGGGCAGGTAAAACGACGCGAAGATCGGGACAAAATCGGATCGGGATAACTCGAAATTTCTGAGAATCGGCGGGTTTGGAGGATGTCTTGGGCGCCGCGGCCGCTTCAGAGCGTTCCGGAACGCTCTGAGAGCGCTCCGGAACGCTCTGGAGCGATTCATCCCGATCCTAGCCTTGTTTTAGCAGGCACAGTGGTGGGCTGGGCCGGAGCCAGTGCCGAGGCGCGTGCACCGGCAGTTGCTCAGGCGCGTCTGCACCAGAGCCCCGTTCAGTTTAAGTCAGTTTTCTGGGGGCAGGAGAATTATGTTCAAGGTGGGGTGGGGTGGGTGGGTGGGGGATTTGCGGAAGGCTTCCTCTTGGGGCTTGAGCTGGGCGCCGGGCATCAGAAGGCGAGGAGTAGGCGGAGCGACAATCTGGGCTTGCTGTCCTGATCATGGAGTCGCCCTGAAGATTTCTGGCCCAGACCTGACGTCTGAAGGAGGGTCGGCGACTACAAATGATGTGGTTACGCCAGGGTGTGGTTTGTGATGTGCGTCCTAGGGGCTCGGGGGGCCCGATGCTGCCATCGTCGGGCCTCCTCGGGGCGCGGCGGAGAACTCCGTCGAGTTTCTCGCCCGCCCCCCAGGGTGCGGGTTGCAAACCGCACCCTTTGCAAGCCACATTTCTCGGAGTCGCCGAGGGGGGAGGGGTAACACGGGCCGTCGGCGCCAGAGTGCTTCTTTCGGATGCGCAGCGATGGGAGAAGGAAGCGAGACGAGGGCAGTGCACGCGCTCTGCTTCCGACCAGAGTGCCCCATCGGACGCGCAGCGAAGAAGGGAAGGTGAGGGCAGGACGGGGAGGTTCTCGGGTTCATGTGCAGAGGAGTGGACGTTCAGCTCGCGGGCAAGACACATCGCGTTTTGAACCGCAGACCAGGCGTTCTTCGGGGAGCAGGGGGGAAGAGGAGGGCACGGCAGCTTCCGAGCATCGCATGGCCGGGGCAGCTTCCCAAAGGTGTCGATGCAAGTCCCCTCAAGGGGGCGTGGATGAGCGGGATGAGCGATCGCAAACATGGATCAAGGGGGCGTGGATGAGCGACGGGTCCCGTTTCCATAGGAAACCGAGGATTTCCGCCGCCGAGCGAGGCGGCACCGGCCGCATTTCGGGGAGGGCACCTCCCCCGATCCATGGATTTGGCGACCGCGCGCCAAAACCATGGATCGCTCATCCATGCTTGCACGCCCCCGCTGATCTCTTCCCGGTGTGAGCAGGAGGAGGGGGCTGGTGGAGGAGGAGAAGGGCTCACGGGCGGCCGCGGTACTGCTCCAGCCGTCCAGGACGCGATGTCAGGCGAGGGGAGAGAAGTCCTGCTACCACCCTTCGCAAGTGGCGTGGCTGCGGCAAGGCACGTCGAAATGGACATTGGCTGCCAAGGTACAGCACATCCACCGTATCATCTGGGGGAGGAGGGGCAGTTTCTTGGGTTCGGGTATTCGGAGGATTTATGACTCGGTGGAGTGGCCACTGGATGTGTCGTGTACGCTCGGAGCTACTGTTTGGGATCATGCTCGCGAGTTCTGGATATCAAATCCAGATGTTAGAACTCACACCGGATTCCGAGCCAACCTGATCAAATGCTTCTTGGAATGATATAGTGTTAGCAATTGTTTTTCCCGCGCTCAAGTAGACGCTAATCGCCAGCTGCGGCCAGTTTCATAGGGCCATGCGTGGTTAAGATAATCGTTTGCACCAGCTGCGTTCAATTATCCATGGAGTGCCATTTGTCCTGGGGGAATGAGTTACTATGAATCGAGCATAGTGTTGTTCGCTGGCGCAGCATGTGCTCGATCGAAGTATTTTGGCGTTCCCATGCATCTATCGTCTCTCATGTCCTCTTCTGCGGCTGGTCCGTTAGCCATTTGTCCTGGCATTCCTTCTCGACCTCATGTTTCTCTTTCGATTAACTATGTCTTACGATCAGATGCCCATCTCTAATGTTGTCCATGGGGAAAGATGTTCACGTAGCGATGTTGTCTCATCCTTCGGTTGGGCCGCGTGACGCCAAGCAATTACCAAGACCGGAAGGTTTGCATGGATGTGTCGAGGCTTAGGCATTGTTGCAGTCTAGCGACAGCGCCGCTTGGCCCCGGCGATCGTTGTCTGGACCAGACTACAGCAAGCCCATGTTGCCGCTGCGCGGTGAAGGCATCTGGAAATGGAGATGCAGGCTCTGCGCCAGCAGTCTTCTGTGCCCAGCGATCCGCTGCCAACCAACCTGTCAGCGACTTCCTCAAAGGGTCGCCAAGGCTCAGGCTCTCGCAAGGATTAAGTTAGATTGTGGTCCTTCGCGCATTTGGGCTGACTGCAGAAGTTCATCGCGGCCATGGGTGCCTTCAATAACACCCGGACACTTCCACCGGCATTCTTAAGCGCCCAGGCCATGACTGCTGGTGCTAATCAGAACTAGTGTTCGAAGGCAGCCAAGAGGGCTTCTCCTTGTGAAGCTGGCAGCGTCTGGAGCATTGCCCCTGGCATTAGTGCATGCTGTATGTATATCCTCGAAGTTGCGTCCGTTCTTGAAAGAGTCTCACACACATCCTTTCCTTTCCCGGGACCGCTGTATCCGCATCTGTCTGCCAGGACGCGGTTCACATCCCATATAAATAAACGCCCACTTTTCAAGTTTGCATTCTCTACTAGCGCCCTTGAGGCACTCTCGGGAAGTAGACGGCTTTGCCAGAGAGCAAATGTTGCGTTCAAATGCTTGCATCTTTCTTAACATTCAGCATACTCGTTGAACATATCCGCACGTGTTTGCGCTGATGTATGTCTGTATGGCGCTGTTTTCTGTGTCCTAGCTGTATAGCACCGCCCAGGTGGTAAACGCAGGTCGATCAACATCACTGCAATCTGGACCGCGATCTTCGGACCATGGCTTTTATTTGTGGCCGTGTTCTTCGTCCTGTCAATGCCCTTGCACTTCGATTGGCCAGCTTTAGCGTACTTTGTGGTAGTACTGTGTTTGGTGGTCGTCATCATTACTGGAGGTTTCGCTCGCTATCACCAGGTCTTCAGAGGGGGTTAAACCCAATCCCCACCTTCTCAGAGCCTCTGGAGCGAGAAGAAGCCATGTGCGTTGTGGGACCTCAGAAGACACTGATTTCTCAGTGACGGATAGTCCTTGATGAGTTTTCCGGCCGTTTTTGGACCAGGCGCCCTGCCCCGCCCACGCACGGAGACGCATTTGAGGGGCAGAAGTTGCAATTGCAGGCATCTGTGACTTCTTGGAGCTCTTGTAACGGATCTCGGGGACTCTCAGCGTGACAGGTCCATCCGCAGGCACAGCAAATCTCACACCAGTTTTCTGAAGAGCAAGTGCACCCAGAAGTGGAGGCGCAACGTCCTTTGTCCGAGGCGGGGATTTATCCATAACCACCGCCTGGGGGTTCGATCTTCGCGGACCTCTACAGGCAGTTGATATGGATGTATTCGGGGGCCCAGGGGCCAACACACAAACAGATCCGCCGCCCGCTGGGGCACCAGGACGTCGGTTCACGGGCGGTGGACACGGGCCAATCCCCGCCTTGCACTCCGTGCTGATCTTCACAGGTGGCTTGTCGACTCCGCAGGCTTCCTTGGGCGGGGCGCCTGCCACCTGCTCCCGCACTCCCGCCCACCCATCCATTGAGGCCCCGCCCGCCTTCCTCGCGTGCGTCTCGGTGCCCGCCCGCCCACGCAGGTCTCCTCGCCCTCGGCCCTTCTGAGCTTCGCTGCCCCGCCTCCCGTGCTCGCCAGCGCGCCGCGAGGAACGGCGAAGCGAGATTCCAGCGACACGAGCCTCTGCGAAGCCGGTCTCCAGCAGAGCGAGCCCTTCGCGGAGAGAGTTTCCAGGGGGAGCAAGCCTGCAGCGCTCCGGCGAGGCGGGCCCAAAAGAATAGCGAAGCGAGCACCTCTCAAAGTGAGCCTCTTGCGAAGAACGCCCACCGAGGGCGGATCGGGCCGCCTCTGTCCATGAGCGTGATCTTTTATTGCTTGGGGCATAATGGGCATTATAGCCCCCGGCCCCCCCTCCTCCCCCATAAAGTAACGCCCCTGCCTTCCCCCCAGTGCGCTCCGGGCACTGCCGCCGTGCGCATCGGGCACACGGCGGGGGGGAGGCGTTACATTGTACCCTCCCCTTCAGCCCCCCCCCCCCTCCCCATAATGCCAATTATCGCAGAATTTAAAGAAACGCGCTCCATTCCCTCGCCGCCTGGGCATGCGACAGACTGGGCCTCCTGGAGGACAGAGAGAGGGCTGATGCCGAGGAAAGATGCCGAGCGAGCACGCCGAGGAGTGTCAGGCAGGATCCAGCGGCATGGGTCAGGCAGGCTGCTCTGGCAGCAAGGGGCGGCCATCGCGAAGAGCACCCAGGGATCATCTGCGTCGCCTGCGGCTGCTGCCAAGACACGGCCGAGGGAGAGATCTGATGGAGGCGGAGGGGGCCCAGCGGAGGGGGCCCAGCGGAGGAGCTGAGGGGACAGGGAAGACTGGCACCTCCCCTCGCGTCAGGTCCAGAGAGCCAGCGGGTACGGCGGAGAGCCGAACTGGTTCGGGTTCCTCTTCGTGAGCCTTCTGATCGCGTGGCTGTGTGGCCTGGCGCTCGGGTTCATCAACTACATGGCGAACATGCTCCCGTATCAGCAGATGGTCCGCCTCCTGGGTTTCAAAGCGCCCAGTGTTGTGGAATCGTTGTGGATGCAGTGCCAACCTAAGTTTGGATTGTGTGATTAGGCAATTCTGGATCTGGCAGGCTACGATTTTCGAAGTCTGACGCGCCAGACATGGGAAACGAAATCTACGCAGATTCTGGACCGCGAGCCAACTCCACCCGAGCAGTCTGATAGTGTTTCTTTCTGCCAGCGGCACCAGATGCAATGCTGCAGTAACTTGTAACTCCCCAAACATTTGGACCCCCGCTCGGCTTCCCAGCCCACACCCGTCGCACACAGGATGTAGTGGTGGCGCTACCGCAGTTGTGTGACATGTTCCCAGCAAGCACTGGAACGAGTTTGCGGTTGGAAAGGCCGTGTTGTCCCGGGTCCAGTGAGCGGGCGGGGTCACCATTACTGCAGTGAAGGCCCACCAGCCCCTGCCAACCTCGGGCTCCGCTCTTCTTGCCCGCTGGCCCGGATGCTGTGGCCGTTCCCCTGCGTGCTCTGGGCACGCAGAGAAGATGGTGGGAACCACCCAGGATTGCCAGCGCCCACGTAGCAGCCGTATTGGCAAAAGCTGTGGCCCGAGTTTTTTTTTTTGTGTTGGTTCCAGGCTTGCCGAGATCACACCACCGGTTTCCAGCGACCTGCATGGGTCTTTCCGAGGACGCAAAACAAAACACGAGGGGTAGCAAACAAACATGATGCAGCCAAGGCCCACCTGAACACGTATACCGATGTACATCCTGCTTCGGCCACTGGCCAGTCCGTCATGGACGCGGCTATCATCAAGTTCGACGACGCTTCCAGGCTCGACATGACGAAGATCATGAGCTTCAAGAACGAGGATACATATTGCGTGGCGCCCGTTATGGCCGGGGAGTCAGCTGCGCGTATTTGATCACCCATTTGGGCGTTCGAGGAATCTCTTCAGTTGATCGGATAGCTGTCTCGATGTCCTCCCTCTGTGGCGATGTGGTCAGACCCCACCTGGACGGTTAAGACTCCGACAGAACGGTCCGCACCCCAACGGGTAAGGCACCTTGGTCTTCGACTGTGTACAAGTCTCTGATGGGAAAGATGGACGGGTCCGGGGTGACCGGCTATCGGCTGGCCAGGTGGGAGTATAGACTAACAGGCAACAAGAATGTGTGCCAGCGTCGACCCAGAACAGCGGTTTTGTGTTATGTAGATGTGTAGGTTTTGTTGCGCAAGCTGTGTGGTACAAGCTATGTGGCGCAAGCTCAGTGACCCGCCGCATGATTCGCCCTCCGACCCGCCGAACTTTCATCCGCGATCCACCAACACATTGTTTTGACAAAAAGTCGGCGACTGCGGCGGGTTTCTCGTGTGACGTGTTCCAGAAGAGCTGGTGCCTGCGGCGGGCTCTGCCACATGCGTTCTCCGCAAACTGCCGACGGCCCCCCACCCCCGACATCACTCACTCACTCTTGTCGCAATGGTGGGGGAGATGGTACATGCCATTCGGGCAAGCACAGAGTTGGTGGGCAGAGCTGTCGGCGTTCGTGCAGTCATGACGTGCGGCGCCACAAGCTGCGCTTTCTGATGGGACCCCCGGGGCCGAGGTGACATCAAGGGCAGATGCACAGCACAGCCTACACGTCAGAGCATGTCCTGTCGGTGGACATGCTCTGACGTCAGCCTGGAGCAGATCCCTATCCCTATGCTGGGCATCTCCTCATCACGATGCCGATCTTAGGGAATTCCCTTATTATTTTTGAGGGCGCATCCCTGAGATTGTCATCGCTTTCTGGCGTGTCAATCTTAGGGATGGGGATAAGTTCGAGGCTGGTAGTTCTCCTTCTCGTTTTCCCCCCCTCGCTCGCCGCCGAGACGCTCGACCTGTCCAGCCGGCGCAGGGGACGCCCACGAGGCGCCCCCGGCCCTTGCTCCGGGCGGAGCTCCGCCGCGCCCGGCCAGGGCAGGAGCTCCCCGAGCGCAAGCACCGTTTTCGGGGGAGTCCGAGCCCTGGGGTCTGCTAGATCTTATTTTGAGAACAGTGTAGTTATGTAGATCATAAGATCTTAGAATAAGAACGCACATATCATATAACATGCGAGCAGGCGCGCCCTCGCCCGCCCGCCGCGCCGTGGCGCCCACGGTGCGCCCGCGGGGCGTCCCAGCCACCGCCCGGGGCGCCCCAGGACGGCGCCCACGGCGGGGCCCCCCGCGGGGCGGCAGCCCGAGCCTCCCGGCCGAGTGCACGGGGCGCCCACTGCCGCGCAGAGCAGCGTTTTTGGGGGCAGGCGTGGGCCGAGGGCGGGCAGCACGTCGGCCACAGGCAGGAGCGAGGAGATGGGCGGATGCGGGCGCGGAGGGGAGCTGGGCAGGATAGGGGGAACAGAGCAGGCTGCGGCATTCGGAACGGAACAGCACGGTGTAGACTGCCATAAAGCGGAGAAGGGCAGAACGGAGCACGGCAGGGCACGCTTGAGAGCAGATGAGTAAGCTACAGACTAGGCATTAGGGGGCATCGGGGTTGTCAGCACACTCTTCGAGATTGTCCAGCTGCCTGCGGCAATACCCGCCACCGTGACTGCCCAGCATTCTTGGTGGCGACTGTTCGAGGTGACGCGGAAGGCCATCACGTGTGACATTTCGTGTCTCCAGTCTTGGGGGAGCCGTGTTGCTGTTGAAGGTGATGATGAGTTTGATGTTGGTGATGTTGTTGATGGTGGTGGTGTGGATAATGAGTATGATGGCGATGGCAATGGCGATGGCGATGATGAGGTGGGTGATGATGGTGATGGTGATGGTGATGGTGATGGTGATGGTGATGGTGATGGTGATGGTGATGGTGATGGTGATGGTGATGGTGATGGTGATGCTGTTTATGACGATGGAGATGAGGATGGTGATGTTGATGACGATGACGATGACTATGATGAGGGTGCTGACCCTGATGATGATGAGGAGGACGAGGATGATGATATTGATGACGATGGCGATGGTGATGACGCTGCTGCTGCTGATGATGATGGTGGTGGTGGCATTGATGACGCTTATGACTCTTATGATGGGGATGATGGCGATGGTGACGAGTATGGCTAGTTTTGTGATGATGGTGATGATGATATGGACGAGGATGAGGATGGGGATGCGAGAAGTAATGACAAATATGATGATGTTGCTGTTGACGACGATGGTGATGAGGATAAGGATGAGGATGCAGATGATGCGGAGGAATATTAGGATGATGATGATAATGATAATGAGGAGGATGTTGTAGTTGATGGTGATTAGAATGATTATGACGATGGTTATGATGGTTATGATGACGATGATGATGTCACTGTCAATGACGGTGACGATGTTGTTGACGATGATGTTGATGGCGACGATGCTGATAATGATGATGAGTATGGTGATGATGGTGACGAAGCTGATGATGGTGCTGATGATGATGAAGATGACTGTGATGATTATGATGATGTGATGCTGATGATGCTGATGATGTTGATGCTGATGGTGATGACGATGATGTTGATGCCCATGTGGATGAGTACGATGATGATGAGGATGCTGATGATGATTATGATTATGATGATGATGATGATGATGATGATGATGATGATGATGATGATGATGATGATGATGTGGAAGACGGCGTGAGAGGTTGGGGTAGACTCAGTTGCAGTACCATCATGATACAGCTGTTGATGATGCATAATAGTATAAACAATACGATTGCGACGAATGCATGAGTATGCTGATGCTGCTGTGGTGATGACGATGGCGATGGCGACGATGATGACGATGATGATGATGATGATAATGATGATGATGACAATACTGATGCTGATGATGATGATGATGATGATGATGATGATGATGATGATGATGATGGTGAAGATGATGATGATGATGATGATGATGATGATGATGATGATGGTGGTGATGATGATGATGATGATGATGATGATGATGATGATGTTGATGATGATGATGATGATGATGATGATGATGATGACGATGCTGAGTACGACGGCTGCGGCAACTAAGAAGATGATTATGTTGTTGCTGGTGATTAGGAGGTGGAGGAAGAGGACGAGAAGGAGCAGGCTGACGAGGGCCGTCTTGGGGCATTATTGGGCCGTCTTGGGAGGCTCCTGGACGTTTATTGGGTGTCTGGGGGCCGTCGTGGTCGTCTTGGCGCCGTCTTGATCAGTCGAAAGGCCTTCCGAGGCCGTCTCGGGTCCCACGGGAGGGGCCGTGCTGGGGCCGTTGTTGGATGCCTCTTAGGTCCTCGTGGGGTCCTCTTGGGCCATTGTTGGACCCTCGTGGGGGCCTCTCGGGCAATCGTGGAGGCGTCTTGGGCCGTCTTGAGCCGATGGAAGCCCGAAAAGGCGAGAATGCGAAACTCATTCAACAATCTACGGGGAATCAGCGAGTTTGGTGTCTTCGGGCCCAGTGGGAGGTATCGTGGGCCGTCTTGAGGCCATATTCGGCCGCCTTGGGGCCATCTTGGCCCGTCTTCGAGGCATCTTAGGCCATCGTGGTTGCCCTGGTTGCTTGCCGTAGCCATCTTGGAAGCTGGGGACGCGGACTTGTCGTTTCTGTGACGAGAGATCTTGGCCTCGTCAGCGCGGGCCCGGCGTTTTTCCGAGGGATCGTGGCCACGGGAGCCGAGGGGGCGCATGCAGCCAGAGCAGCACCTGGCATCCGAGCACGCCCAGGTCGTGGAGGCACGGCGTGGGTGCTGCTGGGCAGGGCAGCGCAGGCTGTACCTGCGCTGCGGCCTCGGGTCGCAGACTGGAACAGATACATTACCAGTGGCGGGTGATTTAATCGCTTCGCTGATTCCGCCGGCCCTGGAGCCCTCTTTGGGGCCTCTTGGGGGCCTCTTGGGGACCTCTTGGGAGTCTCTCGGGGCTCCTTGGCGGCGTCTTCGGGGCCCCCCAGGGCCTCTTGGGGGGCTCTTGGGGGCCTCTTGGGGCGAGGGGGGTAGTCGATTACGGCTCTACCCTCGGAGGCCACGATCCTCGCACATAAACATAAAAACTCGGAGGTCCGCGCGGATTTCTCGTATCGGCGCTGGGGCCCCCCGGCGGCGCCTCCGGCGCCGCCCCTGGCGCGCTCCGCGCGCCAGGGAGGGGGGTCCAGCGCCGATCCGAGAAATCCGCGCGGACCTCCGAGTTTTTATGTTTATGTCACTTTTTGTTCCCCCAGTGATCATGGCCAGGGCCACGACATCTCCCGGAGGTCATCACCCCTCCCGCTTCCTTCAGCACGTCGTCTGCGCCCCGCTCGTCCGCGCACATGCCCAGGGGCCAGGAGTTGCAAGCCGCATCTTCGGCGCCCCTTTCTTGGACATCCCTGATATCAGCTCGACGGCTCCACGGAGCCCAGCCTCGCTCACCTCACCCGGCCACACCCGAGGCACCAGGGCACCAGAATCGTTCACATCGAGTTGATCCCTCTCCTCACGCTCGTCGCTTTGAGGTGCGCTTGACTCAGCAGGGCAGCGCTGTCATTTTTGCAGGTAGGGGGAGGGGTTATGGTGTCTGGTAGATCGGGCAGCGAGCCTATGGCTGATCGAATATGTCTGGCACGAGTCCTCCGTGTGCTTTGTGGAGGTCTCCAAATAGTCTTCGCGGGTTGGAGCTAGTCGGAACAGTTCCCCAGCACCCGCTCAGAGATGCGATCCGCGGATTTTGCGAAAACATCGGTTCGCATGTAAGTTTGGCGTGCCGCTGAGGCTGGGGATCTCAAGCCCGGTGCGGAGCAGGCGGTCTACGACTTCTGGGCCGTCGGGACGAATTGCTGTTCCGGGAAGCCCAACGATTGGCGCTGCGACAACGGGCGGAACCCAAGGACCAGGAGGGGAAAAACACACAGACACAATTAATCGTCGACTCCCAGGAAAATATGGGAAAATATGGGAAGTGGGGGGAAGACAGAAACTCTGAAAATATAGGAAAATATGGGGAATCTTTTTATTGGTGTGTATTTATTTGTGTGTCCTGGGGCCCCTTCAAAGGACACATTCCGCGATGCGGTTGATGCCGTCCAGCGAGCGCCCGTATTACCGCCTGGCGGTGCAGCAGGCCGCTTGCACGTCGTTCTCTCTCTCGACTGCCCAGTCACCAGCATGCGAGCGCCACTGTATGATTGATGGCGGCTGGTCCGCCGCTTGGCATGCGCTTCATTCAGAGCCTGTATACATTGTGACACCCATATGTAGATATACATATATGTACACACATGCACATATATATATGTGTACATCTACATATATGTATGTATAAGTACCCCGGCGCAGCGATGGAAGCAGTCACTGGGTTAAGCACAGACGGGTCGCGTTCAAAGCGAATTGATCAGTTTGTGTGGGATTGGCATTGCGAACAGAAGCCGATAACCACAGTGAGGGTCAAGCCTAAGGCAGGATCACCGATCGGTTGAGTCAAGTGCATGCCAAATCAAACGGCGCGGGAAGGAACGAGAGAAAGCGCTAAGGCAGGTAAGTTGGGAGGCATTGGGGGTCGAGGACGAGAAGACGTCGGGCGGAACTCCAGGAGGCGCCGCAGCCAGCGAGGAACCCGTCAAGTGCATGTGAACAATCGAACAAACACCCATACGCACGCACGCTCGCACATGCACACACGCACACGCACACACGCACACGCACACACGCACACGCACATACGCACACGCACACGCGCACACACGCGTCTAATCGTGCATATGTGCATCTGTAGGTGCTGTACAGATGTATACGTACATGCGTACAAAGATCTGCGTATACAAACAACCATACATACAGACCTACATTCATATCTACATACGTACGTACATACATACATACAAACATGCACACACACACACACACACACACACACACCTATGCATGCATGTATACATATAACGGCGCACCGGGTCCGGGTGCCCGGGGCCGGGACCCCGACCACAAATGTGGGCTCCGGGGGGCCCGGAGGCTCGTCGGACCGCCGGACGCCGTCCAAGATCGTTCGCAGGCGGCTTCGGAACGCGCTCCGATGGCTCCAGATGCCTTCCAAGACGCCTGTCATGACACCAAGAAGGTCCCAGAAGCCTCCAAGACGCTCCGAGAGGCAGCCCAAGAGAGGCCCAAGAAGCAAAAATCGTGCCATTCCTATGGGAAAACGTATATTTTTCGCATGTTCGCCTCTTGGGCTTTCACCGCGTCCAAGACGGCCCAAGAGGCGCCCAAGACGGTCTACGAGGCCTCCGGGAGCGCTCCAAGGCTGCGCACGAGTGTCCCAGGACGGCCCCAAGACGGCCGAAGAGAGCCCCAAGACGAGTTCGAGAGGGGTCCCAGACGGAGAAAGCCAACCTCGAATTCCGAGCTTCCGGCCCAAGAGGCTCCAGGAGGCGCCAAAATGCCGCCAAGAGGCGCCAAAAGGCTCCCAAAAGCACCCCAAGACGTTCCGAGAGGCACCCCAAGAGAGGTCCAAGAAACAAAAATCGTGCCATTCCTATGGGAAAACGTATATTTTTCGCATGTTCGCATCTTGGGCTTTCACCGCGTCCAAGACGGCCCAAGAGGCCTCCAAGACGGCCTAGGAGGCCTCCGGGAGCGCTCCAAGGCTGCGCACGAGTGGCTCAGGACGGCCCCAAGACGGCCCAAGAGAACCCCAAGACGACTTCGAGAGGGGTCCCAGAAGGAGAAAGCCACTCTCGAATTCCGAGCTTCCGGCCCAACATATCCCAGGAGGCGCCAAAACGCCGCCCAGAGGCGCCAAAAGGCTTCCAAAATCAGCCCAAGACGTTCCGAGAGGCACCCCAAGAGAGGTCCAAGAAACAAAAATCGTGCCATTCCTATGGGAAAACGTATATTTTTCGCATGTTCGCATCTTGGGCTTTCACCGCGTCCAAGACGGCCCAAGAGGCCTCCAAGACCGCCCCAAGACGGCCCAAGAAGCTTCCAAGAGGGCCCCAGGACAGCCCAAGAGGGCCCCAAGACGGCCCAAGAGGCGCCCAAGATGGCCCAAGAGGGCCCCAAGACGGGCCCAAGAGGGGGCCCAGAGGGGGACCACGAACCGCAAGCTCGAGCCTTCCGCCCCAAGAGGCCGCCAGGAGGCCCCAAGGAGGCCCCTCAAGAGGCCCCAGGAGACCCCCAAGAGGCCCAAAGGAGGCCCCGAGAAGCCCCAAATCGGCCCCCAAAATGCTTCGAACCTGCTTCCAGGAGGCCCCCGACAGGTTCAGAGGCTCCCGAGAAGCTACGTCAAACTCCCAGCGAGCGGCCGGACGAGGCCCCCCACAAAATCACAAGAGGGTTCCAGTATTTGTATCCTTCAGCGCTCTCTGGCCTTCTTCCCCCTGCCCCCTTCCCTGCGACTTTCGTTGACTCAAGCTCGCCTCCTAGCTAGAACCTAAGCGCGCGCGAAGCGCGCGCGTGGTTCTAGTCTTCATATATTCGCGCATACAAAAGTACAATGATGCATACACAAATGCCGACCTACCTACCTACCTACACACATTCACACACATACATACATACATACATACATACATACATACATACATACATACATACACACATACATACATACATACATACATACATACATACATTCATACATACATACATACATACATACATCCATACATACATACATACATACATACATACATACATGCATACACACATACCTACATACATACATACATACATACATACATACATACATACATGCATACCACCATACATGCACACGTGCCTCCCTGCATACATGCAGAGACACACATACACACATACATACATTCATACATACATACGTACATACCTATGCACACATACATACATACATACATACATACAGACAGACATACATACATGCATGCATGCATGCATGCATACATACATACATACATACATACATGCATGCATGTATGCATACATACATACATACATACATCTATATATATACATACATACATACATACATGCACTCATACATACATGCATGCATGCATACATTCGTGCATGAGCACATGCGCACATATCTACATGCATGCATACAAACATGCATTTCTACATACAGGCAGACAGACAGACATACACATAGACAGACGTTCAGACAGACACATAGGCGGACGGACAGACATATACATATACATACATCTCTGTACACATACATAAATGTGTATGTAATATATATAATATAAACAAATAGGCCCCCCCCCTTCCGGCGGGGCCGCCCACTCCGCAACCATCGGGGAACGCTTTTTAATACCCCCTCCCCGGGGCCTCCAAGGAGCCTCCAAGGAGCCTCCAGACGACCCAAGAGGCCTCCAAGACGGCCCCAGGAGGCCCCCAGGATGGTCCAAGAGGGCCCCGAGGCGGTCCCAGATCGCTCCAAGACGCCCAAGATGGTCCCAAGACGGCCCAAGGGGCCTCCAAGACGCCCCAAGAGGCCTCCAAGAGGCTCTCCAAGAGGGCCCCAAGAGGCTGGAATCGTTGATTTCCCATTGTGTTTTTCGATGTTTTTGGCTTTCTCTCCTTTTGGGCTCCCTGGCGCTCCAAGACGGCCAAGAGGCACCCAAGATCGCCCCAAGACGGCCCAAGAGGCCACCAAGACGGCCCCAAGACGGCCCAAGAGCGCCCCGGGACCGCTTAAGAGGCCTCGAAGACGGCCCAAGAGAGTCCCAACACGGCTCCAAGAAGGGGCCCAGACGCGGGATCCGAGCGCACTTTACGGGCCCTCGGCCCCAAGAGCATCCCCAGAAACCACTAGAGGCTCCCAAAGGCCCCCAAGAGCCCCCCGGGAGGCCCCCAAGAGCCCCCGAGCAGGCACCGAAACGAGCCCCATGCGATTTCGGACACTTTCATATGCACCCCTTCTTCCTTCCGATCCGTTCCGTTGAGCTGCCTGCATTGAGTAGCATGTGCATTGCATTTCAATTCAACAATAATGCTGTGAATCGCGCTGCATTTGCAACGTTTGGCGTTTGTTTTACTACTCGCATTGGTCTGCATGGCGTTGCATTCGATACGTCTGTGTGCGCCCTCGTGTGTACTACGGCCCTGTTCGGTCTGCGCCATTGTTACCTCTCCAGTTCATGCTCCTGCCATTGGTGGTTACGTGCACGCGTGCACATGTTAGCTTTGAGAGGATGGGGGCTGCTGGAACCTCAGCGCGCTCGAACTGCGCGTGTGGTGTTAGTTGGGGCCGAGGGTGCGAGCTTAGCGTGCACATGTTAGCTTTGAAAGGATGGGGGCTGCCGTTGTTTCTGTGGCCTCCTCGTCCTCCTCCGTCGGGACAGCCCATGTCTACTTAGCTGATCTCGGTGCCGACGCCCACTCCCTGACCACCCTCTTCCTCTGCAGCCTGGGGTGTCTCCTCGTCGTCGTCGTCGTCGTCGTCGTCGTTCTCGCCGTCGTGGTGCCATCACACTCGGCGGCAAGCAGAGGGGGGAGGGGCGAGGGGGGTGGCCTTCTAAGCAGCCGGGGAGTTTCTAAGAAGGTGGGAGCCTCCTTTCAAGTGCTCGGGGGCTGCGCCATTGTTACCTCTCCAGTTCATGCTCCTGCCATTGGTGGTTACGCGCACGCGTGCACATGTTAGCTTTGAGAGGATGGGGGCTGCTGGAACCTCAGCGCGCTCGAACTGCGCCTCCACGCCTCCCCTGGGCCTCCACGCTTCCTATTGATTCCCACGTATGCTGGTGTGGGCATATGGCGTACACATGGCGTGTATACACATATGTAGATGTATTATAAATACCGCCTCCCCCCCAGCCCCTGGTCCCAAACCTCCCCGTGACATCTCGGGGACGCTCCCGGTACCGCTCCCCCAGCCTTTCCGGGGAGCCTCCACAACGCTCCAGGAGGGCCCAAGACGCCTCCCAGGATCCCCCAGAATGCGAAAGGATGGCCCAAGACGCTCCCAAGCAGCCCAAGTCAGCCTTCCGACAGCTTTCGAGGCTCCCAGGTGGCCTCCAAGAGACCCCAAGAGAGGTCCGAGAGGCGTCCCGGGACGGCCCGAAGAGGACAACATCGTCGATTTTAATTTTTTTCAATGGTTTTGGCTTCTCGCGTTTTCGGGCTTCCAACGGTCCAAGATCGCCG